TAGTTTGACCGGTGGTCACAGATATAGTTTCATTTTTAACAAAGGCTGAATCACTTCCTAAAACAGCTGAGCACCCTGATGGAGAAAACATTACCCCTACAGGATTAATAATGTATTTGTTGGGAACTATTATCAGCAAAGGACTTGGTGCTTGGTGAGTTTTGCTAGCAGTGTAAAGTTCACTCAAAATAAACTACTAGTGCGATTGTTCATCATAATGAAGAAACATGTCAACCAGTGCAACAGTGTGGCTCACTGGTGTGATTCTAATAGTTTGTGGACAATAATGGAGCTCTACAGCACAGAGGAATACACAATATCATCACAGGATACACAGACAATACTTAGCATCATACAGAATCAGCTATCTTAAAGCACTTCTGACTGTGTTACCTGGGGCTGGGTGTAGCCAGAGCAGTGGGCCAGTCTGAGAGCAGTTGCTCTGTGCTGGTCAGTGGCATGGGGATAAGCGAGATGGGCAGCAGGTCGTGGTTCCAGTCCAGCTGAGGCAGCGTGTCCACAAGGCAAGGCAGGGCAAACTCTGTCTCCCGGGAGTAGTCGTTAAACGAAACCTCCGGAGCGTCTGACCAAAGGTGCACACATCCCCCGGAGTCCCCGAAGGCCAAGGCTTGTTTGCTCGATGATACGTCAAAACTCATGAGCAACTGGCCCACGGTGTTGACGTGAAAAATGTCCGCCACGTTAGCGAGACCGGTGGGCTCGCAGAACTGGCACTGACCTGAAGAAAGAGGAGGTTGAACATTAATTCAAAACTACATGTGCCTGTATTAAGAAAACATTTGTATTTAAATACCAGAGGGACTTTGGTGCAAGTGCCACCATTCAAGAAGCACTTCCACTGTAGAGACTTAAGTTTGATGCAAACACACACATTTTATTATTATTTTATTGTTACACAAAAAGCATATATCCCATTTATTCAGCAAACTCTCGAAGATAAATAAGTTTAACTCTACAAATACACTGACTACAGAGCATGAAGTTGACCACACAATCCTCGGTTAATACCCGTTTGTGAGATGATCGCCAGGCGTGACGTGTAGGTGGGAATGAAGCGCAGGAAGAGGGGGTCCACGTGCACCTGAAGTGGCGTTACAGCTCGCATCATACGGAGGTCATACACCATGAGGAAACGGTCGCACGCCAGCCCATTCATTCCTCGGCTGGAGAACCCGCACGCAGCCAGAAGGTTTCCATGAACGTCGAAGTCTGAGAGACTGCCAGAGAACGCGTCGAAATCGTGCTCCATCTTGAAGGTACGCAGGTCTCGAAGGGTTATCTGTTTTTTTTAAAGGATGGTGAACGTGAGAGTTTTGTGTTAAGAAAGGAAAAAACATCTTTCACAAACTGATTTAATAAAGTCCACCTTACTTTGCCAGACGTGTGCCCACAGAAGAAGAAACGACTGGTTTGGCGCATTATTGCCATTCCGGGTACCTCAACAGTGAACTGTGAAATACACATAAAAGCAAACGATGCATCGCCTGCTTTTGTTTATTCTTATAAAGGCGCATTATGTCATGTGTTCCTGTGCTGCATGCATCAGTAGCTGTGGATGTCTCACCTTTTGAGTTTCTTGAACAGTATTCAAGTCAACTTCAACCGCATAGTTTTGTAATCCGCCCATAAGAACGGTGTTGTTGTCGGTCATGAGAAGACTATGCATATCAGCTCCTTCGTCCATGCTGGAATGCACATGTATGTTATTATTAAATCATTTCACGGCTGCAGTTTGTCTACAATCAATCTCAGCACAACGTCATTTGTCCCAGTCAATATTCAGTGAAACTTACGGGAAATCAAACATAACGAGACCGCCACGAGTGTGGCATTTGAGGTTACACTTGGAAAGGAACAGGACGCCTGTCTCCAAACTCTGAATGTGGCGGATGTCATCTGATGCATGCACTTGGAAAGATGAGTGGCGGCCCATTGTAGGTCCGAAGAACGAGGTTACGTGACCCTAAAGAGAATAATGAAGGGAATTAGATGGAGTGCAGAGTATGTGTGCATTTCATTAAACTGGAGGCACCCTGTATATCAACAGATCAAAGCTCTTACTCTGTGGTTTCCCATCCAGAGCATTTCCTCCTGCAGATCAAAATGTGTTGCAGTGACTGGGATGCCAACTTCTGAAACTGCACTGTGCAGCTCGGAAAACATCCCCTCCATGAGGTGCACAGACTCGGGGACAGTCACGGGCAACCCCTCGGAGTCCAGCTCCACCCCCTGCAGTAAGTTGGGGTTCAGGTGGGGGTCCATGGAGGGCTCCATCCCCGCGTCCAGAGGCCCGTGAAGGCTGGGCGGGTACTCGCCCATCCCGGCGTCCAGACCGTCAAAGTTCATCATGGGTACAGCTAAATCAACCTGCATGAGGAATGACAGCGTCTGTGAACACGAATACCACCTTAAATAATAAACATGTGCAACTTATTTGTTTTTGATTAATTAAACTCTGAAGTGTCCATTTTCTCCAGGCTAACAGCAGCTAGCCCCGGGAGCTAACGTTAGAGCTAACTGCTAACAGAAGCCCCCCCCCCCCCTCCCCCCCCCAATAAAGCCAAAGTTACATTTTTAATTACTAAATGAAGACAAGAAGCTAAACTATCTCCAGTCACAACAGCAGCGTCTCATTAGTGATATTTAATCAATTAGTTTCCGTTAACGGTTAGCTAATGTGGCTAACGGATAGCTAGCATCGTGACACTGTCCGTTTCTGTATCTATTATATCGATCAGTTAATCAATAATGTGCGTCAGAAAGACTCCGTATATTATTGTAAAGTTTACACCGACCTATTCTTGCGATGCGACGTGCCGCACATGAGTCCATGCTCGCTTCATTCACAACAATAACACACTTTTAAAAAAAATAAAAACAACAAACAAAACATTTCCGGAGCAAAGCGGGGTGCGTTCAGGAGCAGCTCCGTGATGTCGGAATTCAGGGCAGTGTTTCTATCAGCGCCTTTTAAAGTTATTGTTCAGTCCAGATGTGTGGGTTATTTAACTTGGCTCGTTGACTGTTTGATTAATGTTATTTTCTACTTATTCAAATCAGTGATATCAGTTCTGTCTTTACCGATCACCAACCGAGCAAAGTGGAAAAGTGCTCCGAGGTCTCCAGACCCCCAGCGGCCCCTGAAGGCAGCTGTTACTCGGAGCCTTAATCAATAAACTTAATAAAAACAATCTTAACCATCACTAACAGTACAGGCAAGGTAAACCGTGTGATATAGTTTCTAATCTAAACTACGGAACTTAATGCAATATATATGCTGTTACCATTAATTAGTGTATATTATATTTTAATAAACCTGAGAAAAAAAAAAAAACAATCTGCGAAATGAATCTAAATAAAAAATAAAGTCAATCAATTAGTAGTCAATCAGTTGACTGACTTAAAATTCTTCTTTTTTTTAATCGAGAAATCACTTGAGTAGTTTTTCCCTGCAAAAAATATAAAACCTTATTTTATTCCAACTTTTCAAAATGAAGAGATTTTCTGTTTTACATCATGTTAAACTGATTTTGTAATAGTATTTTCTGAAGGTTTATAGGACATACAATTAATCAATGAATCAAGGAAATAATATACACGTGAAAGGGATCATCAGTCGCGACCCTACAGTTTGTTTTAGGATTAAGCATCATGACAGCGCTATATAAACTGGAGTGATAAAGTGTCAACCTCCTTATTATTGCTGTTAAAACTTACACAGAATATCTATTCCCTTTAATAAAAATAAATAACACACCTGAGACAGGATAATTCTCCAGCACAGGTGTGTCTGATAGTTTCTGTGTCTCATCCAGTAGGAACAGACCTTTTTCACAGCATATTCTGACATGGAAATAAAAAAAAAACCAGGTGTTTACAGTGATGCTGACCAAGGTTATGTTACATTTATTGTAGCAGAGCCTTTTCCAGTGAGCCAAACATGCAGAATGTAACGGGACCTTAATTAATGTTAAAATGGCTGCTGTGAAAAAAGGTTTATTACATCCATAATTGGACAGTTCTTGGACAAAATGTCATTGAACAAACCCCCTTTTGGCTATTTATTCTGTGTTAATTTGAATTTAAGAAATAGTAGTAGACTATCAGCACACTTCCCACATTCACCAGTGTTTAAAATAAATAAATAAATGTCACTTTAATTAAGAATGAACTGATTGAGCTGAGTGCGGTAAATGAGTCAGTTAGAGTCAGTTTGGTATATTACTACTTACTATACCAAAGAATATAGAACTTAAACGGGAAAGATAAAGGAAGCACGAAAATATCTTATGTCTTCCCTTATCATCTTTTTGTCTTTCTCCGAAAAACAAAAAAAATTCAGTTGAAAGGCAGAAGGTTTTTCTCTGGTAGAGAAGAGGGGCAGAGCGTGGACACAGATGGAAAGTTTGTCCAATCTGTGTTCAGTTCATTATCGCCCTGACATGTAAAGGTTAATCTCACTTCCTCAACACAGCCAGATGTGAAACTTGATTGCAGCACATTTAGGCTAATTGGTGTCACCCTTACTATATTGTCTGTCACCAACTTAGCCCAAAATATAATGGGGGTGGGAAAATATCGGTTAAGAATATTATTGAGTATATGTGATTTTAAAAAAAAGATTTTATTGATGACTGGAGATCAGAAAGAATACATTGATTTAAACTCACATTCATTCAAATTCATAAAGCAGAGATATATATAAAAAGTTTGTTCATGATGATTCGAGGTAAATATTGTTCACTTTGTGATTACAACAGGCGAGCATTGTGCTTTTCTTCCTTTTTTTGTTTTCGTATTCACTGACAATTGCCTAATATAATGCAATTATAGTGACATCATTCGTGGTCTTCCGTGAAAAATGCACTCGGCTTGAACTTACCTGAGGAAAACCCTTTCACGTGATCAGTGGCGCTTATTCAAAACATTTAAAGGCAGGAGCATCCACACTCACTCACTCACTCACTCACTGACTCACTCACTCACAGGGACGAGCTCACACCGCCACAGCTCCAAACTCACTGAAACTCATCATGGATTTTTGTTTCGCGACTTTTGCTGCTCTTTTCTTGCTCTTCTCGGCTGCATCCTGCGCTCCGGCCGGCCACAGCCTGCACGATGCATGTGCGGCTGTACAGAGGAGCTCTCTGGAGCTTAATCACCTTGCCAAAGGTGTATCAGTCGAGGTATGTAGTTGTTTTTTAAACATTTATTTGGAATTATTAATGCAAAATACACCCAATTTCCATACAGCCTCTGGAATATGTGTTTCACTCAAATTGTGTTTTTTTTATAAATTATTATTAAAGCTTTTATAATTTATTTTTAAATATGATACGTTGAAGCATGTATTTAAACACATCTTTAAGTGTTTATTGCCTGCAGTATCTCTCTATTTATATAATATATAATCTTTAATTTGACAAGTGCGGACTGGTAAGATTTCAGAACCTCACTTACAGACTGCTTGAAAACATCATTAGTGATAAATTAACTCCACTTCCACATCAACACTGGCATAATGAGGAATACTGAACTTTAAATTTGCTGTATATACCAACATTTATTGCTTGATGTCTTTATTATCTCACATATTGTGGCAGTGTACTGAGCATGTTTGTCTCAAATTGTCTGTAGGCACGAAATGGATCCAAACATATGGGTACTTTCACCACCAATCTTGTCTGGATGGAGGCTAAAGACATGTGTGATCCCGAGAGCCTCAGACAGAAGTCTGAGGTAAGAATCAAATACCAATATTCAACAAATATCATATCAGTGACAATAGAAACTAATGGGGGAAACAATACATATAATGGACTTCTTCAACATAAACAATGAGTTCCTGATTTAAATGTGGTTTTTTTTTCCGCCTCCTTCCTCAGCCATGCATTAGCAAGATACACGATGTCCTAATGAGCTACAACTCCTTAATGAAGAGGCTTGAGCAATTTTCCAGCTGTGCAAGGTTTGCCAGCAAAGTGATGCCAGCGATGCACAAACTGCACACAGATATGAGCAAATGTGTGAATGCGATTACAGGAGTGAATCCCCACAAGGTAAGCTTTCCCCTCAGAGGGCTGTGCAGAATTTATTAGTGTTTGACTTTGTTAACTCGTGGCTCGGTTTAAAAAACTGACCAAAAGTTTTAATGGTGTTTTCTGATTCCACAGCACATCAGTAATGAAGAGACTCATCCCATGATGCCTCGCTGGGAGCAGAATCTGCTCTGCCGCTACACCCTGGACAGACTCTTCTCCTTCTCCATCCTCACCGCTCGGGTCTTTGCCGTCGGTGACCCGGCTCATCACGCCGATGGCTCTGCTCAGAAATGCTTGTAGAACATGAGATGTCGCTGACATGAATCGTACTATCATCCTTTATTTGATCACATTGATCAAAGTCTTTTGTACAGCCTTCAGCAGCTGACTATGTATCTACAACAGTATTTCCACTCATTTCTACAATGTATACATGCAGTGTATTTCCAATGGAATTATTATCTAACATATTTATTCAAATCATATTTATTGTATTTATTTATTGCTATTTATTGAAATTGGTATTTGTTTGTATGCAGAATAAATACAATGTTCATAATAAACAATATGACTTTCATCATCATATGTGTTGTGGTTCGTACATTATGTCATAGTGTCTCTCATGTTCCTTCCACTGAAAACATTAATGATACATATTGCCTTATTAAGGAAGGTTAGGAAGTTACCTGCACTGAGAACTATTTTCTTTGAATGAATTCCAAAAACAACACCCCGACAAACATGTTGATATAAGGAGGAAGCTGTGCTTTCCTGAAAGATTCCTGCTGCTCTTCAGAGAGGCACAACTTCCTGCATACTTCCTCCCAGTCTGTTTAGTACAGCAGATGTGTTCACTCGAGCGCTCTCACACTCTGGTGATGCAATGTTACTCCAATAGTGCTTCGAGGCAAAAAAAAAGGAAGGTGTCACATTTAAAGGGGAAGAGGAAGTAGCAGTGAGCTAAGTGTAAAGGTACCGGATTGCTCAACAAGGAAGTTTGTTCTCCGAGTGACTTAATATGCAGAATTCATTCATCCTTTCATCATGTCCTGTCCACAGGAATCCTATCTTTGAAGATTAAAAACTCCAAACTTTACTGATGGACATGTGTCATGGCCTTCCTCAGAAGAGGAAATCATTTATCTAAAAAAACAGACTTCCCAAAATGCTTTACAAGTAAGATACGAAAGTGATATGATCAAAGATGCACAAACAAAATGAAATAAACGCATAGATAAAATAAAAGTTTAAGAACAATATATAATTCTTGTAATATATACAAGAAAATAATGTACAAAAAGCCTGCCTGGTGGCATACTAAACAGATATAATCTGCTTAGCTTTGAGAGTTTTTTATTTCCAAACATATAAGTAGTCCAGCCCCAGAGCCTCTTCCCAGATAAATCCAAAGACAAGAGAAACTAGCAGCATGGCGAGAGGTAACTGTAGAATAAAATACCTACATCGCAGATCCAAATTTGGACAATCGGCATCAGTTTAATGCTTTGCAGGTTAAATTGCATCATCCCTATTAAATAAGCAAATATAACAAGAAGCACAAGCGGCCCTATGCGGCTGTAATGCTCATTGTAAAGAAAAACAAAGAAATATGAAAAGAAATGCTGAAGTTGAAGTTCTGTTTTTTATCTTTGGTGGTCAGGGTGAAGTGACCAGAAGGTGATGTCAGGATAAACATATTTGTTCTGCTTTATTGTGTTATTGTGTAAGCATTAAAAAAAAAGTGATGTGCAGTGTTACTGTAGTTTGTTTGTGTGAGGGTGATGCAAGAGCAGGTTACAGTAAGTCAACATTTATGGTGCTGTGTGAGATGTGAACCTGATCCAGATGATGGTAGTAGAAAAGAAGTTAAAGGAAACGGTGTGCTGGAGTTGTTGGCGTCTAGCGGTGAAGCTGCAGATCGCAAACAAACTACTACTTTAACTGTGTAGGAGAAACTGCGTGAAAAGACCCTATCTATGAATATTATATTTCATTTCTGCCAATAGATCCTCCTAAATGTGTTACACACTGGACCTTTAAAGGTTCACCGAAGAGAGTTCACAGAAACAACAGTTCATAAAACAATCACAACTCAAGGCCCATAAATATAAACATACAATAAAAATGTTTCTGTGAATGCTCGAGTCAGCAAGCCAAAGTTCCTCCTGATGTCCAGTATGTGCAATCCAAGGGTCATTCGTAATGTGAAGTTTACGTCACTTCCTTGTTACATTTTTCTACATGCTGTTCACGCCACGGGGAAGTAATCTGGCCAGCGTGCCGGTAACAGCGTGTTTTTGTTTTCATTCCCTGTGCATTAGTCATTTGGGGCGGTCGAAGATATTCTTCCCCTCTACGTTACTCATACCGTCTATCAAAACCAACATAGATTTAATTTAAAATGTAATTTCCATGCTTGATTTTTCTGTTTCTAACCACTGCTGTTTATTCTGAGAAATTTGAGCTGCAACTAAAAGCTGTTTACTTTATTTCAACTTGTACACCAGAAAAACCCGTCTACTTGTACATAAGGATGTGTTTGAGTTTGAGAGCGACATCCTGTCTCCATACTCCCACTATTGACTACGAAGCACGATGTTCAAGTGAAGAATGCTTTGATTTGTGCATTTGAGCCACTGGGGGTGAAAAAGATTGTGCCAGAGGTTTACAGACGGTGAAAGCATTTAATTATTTCGGTTTCCGTTTAGTAATTTTATGCAACGTTGCAAATCAATGAGCAGTTCTGCTTTAAGGCAACACTGGTTTCCTACATCAGGGTGATACGGCGCCTTCATTTGGCATGTATTTAGTTCACTTGACAGCAGACATTTCCATGTGGTTACTTTCTTTAATATACCGTAACAGATTTATCCATCGCCCACCCCCCTATTAGTCATTTCACATATATATATAACTGCTCCTTTTGCATGTATAGTTATGCTGATATTTATCTATATGCAAGTAAAAAAAACGTAACACTTTATCTGGATAGTCCGCCTACAGATGCATTTGTACAGGTCTTACACATTACACCACTGTGGTTAGGCTTTGGTTAGAGTACGTTCATGAAAACCACTTTCTATCCACAGACAATGTGAAACAGCTGAAAAGGTACAAATACACTATATAAACGGACATAGATCTGTAGGCAGACTATCAAAATAAAGGGTTACCGAAAAAACAAACTAAGGTACATTTTAGGTATCAATAATTGTGGGCTGTGAGGTTACGATCAGTGGTGGAAATATACTTTAAGTAGATTTAAGTAAACGTAGGAATACTCTTTTATGAGTTTGCGTTATTATACTTAAGTATCATTATTAAAAATGTATTGAAATTATTGTGCAGAATTCTCCTTTGTTATATTATTATACATTGTATGTTATATAATTCGACTGATGAAGACGGTTTTCATTGTTGTAGGTGGTTGAGGTGAAGCTCATTTTAATTACCTTTATAATTAAATCTATCCTGTTTATAAACTGTCGGAAACAGCAGTTAACAAAACCCTCTCAACTCAAGGCCCATAAATATATATGAATAAATATAAAATGTATACTTTAAAATGTGTTTCAATAAACGCCTGATTCAGCAAACCAGCAAGCAAGTTCCTCAAGACGTCCAGCACATATAATCTATGGGTGTAATGTGAATTTTACATCACTTCCTTATTTTAATTTCTCCACAGACCGCTCGTGGTAGAGGGAAGTGATCTCAGCGCTCACCCTGCACGGCAACAGCCTTCATCTTGTTTTCATACATCAGCAAATGATGATGTGGTTTGTATATCCAATCTGAATATATATATTCAGATGTTACATAAAAGTGAGATGAGAAAAAAAAAAAACACAATATTTGAAATGTAGTGGAGTAGAAGCATGGCTGGATTAACCTGTTAGGAGCAACAACAAAAACACGCTCTTCCTGACCCTTAACCCCCTAACAGCCCAAAGCCAGGGGCTGCACAACATGGTCGATTAATGGGAAAGATCCATCCAAAAGATCGAAACCAACAAGGACCTTAATCTATCTCTTAATTTACGTAACATAACTTCTGTGGCACTGCTTCCCACTAAAGATGTAAATCTAATCTGGCTACCAAATACACAGTTTCAAGTCTAGTTTCTTATATTTATTCATTTCTCATATTACTAAACGGTTCACCAAAGGCTAGTTTCCATCTGTAGTCCCCGAATTGAATAGCCTGAAATCAAGAAACAAGTTTTAAAACAATAATCATGATTAACTGGGTAGTTTAGTTACCCAAGCTGGAGTAAATAGATTAGATTGATCGGGGATTGCTGTGGATTTGGTGGCTGAGTGGTACATCTGAGATGGGACTCACAAATAAACGACAGTGCCCACGTTGACTGTAATGAAAGATAATGTCACCCAGTGCAACAGACTGGTTTATTCATGTGTTTCTAATGGCGTGTGAACAACAATGGAGCTCTGTGGGACAGAGGGACTCTACATCAGGGTCCGTGCCTGCAGACACACAATACTTACTAGTATGATATACGATTGCAAAAATTACAGAATATCACCAGATATACGCCCTTTAAGTACTTTCCACCACCGGCTTCAAAGCACTTTTGTACCAAACCCCCCCCAGTACCTGCAGTTTGCTGACCTTTAAGCCTGTTGACATTTTGTTTGTGGTGCATTTCTTCAGTAGTAGTCATTTATATCAATTTAATTTAATTTCTAAATACAATTTTGGTTGTTATTTGTGTTGCATTAATAACCCAACCTAGGATGTAATATTCTTCCCTTTTAAACTCCACCTGAGAGGCAAAAATATTTAAAAAAAAACAAGCTTAAAGCCGAAGTGAAAGTGTTGTGCTGGAGAGTGAAACTTAAATCCCTTTATTGTGATGACATTTTGTAGTTACAAGGGAATTAACTCTGATATTAAACTATTGCTCATATATATATTTTTTTTTTTTTTTGAGGGGGGGGAGGGGGATTTCTTGCAAGGGCAGTTTCTACCACCACCACTCACCTCACCTGTTTACCTGCCGCTGATGAGGACAGGAGGACGGGGCTGGAGTTTTGACAGATGTCCGCCGCAGCGGTGGAACCAGCCCAAACCTAACGAAGGCGGGGTTAAAGACAAAACAAGGAATTTCCTGGTGAGCTACGACAACACAGGAAGGTAAAGTTTGCTCCGGTTGAAATGTGAAGTTTTAAAACCTCAAAATGCCGCCCGGGCGAGGCTAATTTATCTCGACTGACACCCCGAGAAAGTGATCCAACTCTCCCCCCGTCGGTAGAAACGCGTCGATCTGCAACCTGGCACCAACCGTCAGCGTCACTTTGAGCTAACGTTAGCTCGTCAACCTGTAGATAGCCGCTCAACGGTTAGCTTCCGTCGCGAACGTTATCCGACGTTAACTGCCGACGGTTACTGTCGTGTTATCGTACAATATTAACGTTATTACGACTTTATTGTGGCTTT